AGTGCAGGCCTTCTGCTCTCCTGGGGAACGTGATGGGAAGACAGTATTTACAGTTTCTCATAAAGCAGGCATGTCGCCACTGAATGGAGACTCGTCCTGGGGCAGATTAGTGTAGAGCATTTTTCATCGGGGATTTTCGTACCTCAACTTTTCTTCATTTTAAAAGTGGAGTTGATTGGGTGATAATGTATTTATCTGTCTGGACTCACTTATTTTTGGCTTTTATTTGTTTCTGAATCATGGTGCATATCGAGGCAGATACTGTTCTGGTTATAAATTAGGCTTATTTTTGAAAGCGGCCCTAAATCCTTAAACCCACAGAGTACTGGACTCCTCAGGTGGCCCGAGGCCCCACCCTTAGTCTGTTGCATCCTCAGAGTCCTCCTGCCGTCGGCATTATCAGCCTCTGTGACCCTTATTGCAATAAAACCCCCCTTGTTCCTGGGATCAGCTCTCAGGAAAGCCCTTCATAGCCACAGTGCTCAAGTATATACCTGGTTCCCAAAGAAGGAAAACTGGCAGAAAAGTGCAAAAATAATCATGTGTTTTAGACTCTTTTTTACATCATTCAGAAGCAATACTGATCCCTGGTTTGGAATTGCTGAGCCAGAATGTTGGGCACTGAAGTTAATCACTGGGGTCTTCAAAATGTAGAGTAAAATGTTGTGAGTTCTCCCATTATTAGATAGGCCCTGTTCTGTGCCCCCTTCCAATATAAGCTGAAAGTTTCACCTCTAATGTAAATACCTGAGAGTGTGTGTAGCTCCATCACTGTTGACTCACACAGCAGAGAGGTGCGTGCTCACTGCTTTAAATTTAAAGACTTTGGGGGTTCTTTGTGCCTTTGATCACAAAGCCAATTATGCAGAGGCCGCCAAGTTCCTGCAAGTCCCAATTTCTGTGCCCTCTCCTCTGCGTTCCAGCTGTCGCTCTCAGAGCCTCCCCCTGTAGTCCTCACCTTGTTTTCTTAGACACATTAGAGATGCAGTTTTCATTCAAGCACAAGTCATAAGTCTGGGAGGTGTCAGGCTGATTCTGGATCTACTTGATTCTCTGAGATACCTCTGAGCCCTGGGAAGCAGCCCTGTGGCCCAGTGGAGCTCTGCTCCCGTGGTCACAGCTCCAGCTGCCACATGGTGGCACTCAGCCCCCATGCTGGAGGCTCCGTCTGGCTCCCACTCTGCTGTCCCTTTATCTCAAATGCACAGACAAATTTTGCTGTCATATGAAAGAAGAGTTGTTTGCAGACTTTAAAACAAGAATCCCTGTTAAAAGTCTAAATAACAGGCTGTAGTTTTCAAAGCAGGGCAGCTGTATTTAAATATCCTACACATTGAACACTGTGGCTGTGACTTTCATTTCTGCACCGCCCCCGGGGGGGGCTTGTTCCCGTGTCCCCAGAGAAAGCTTGAAAAACAAGACTGAATCAGCAGGGAAAGGGAGGCCCTCTCCCTCCCCCAGCTGGCAGCTGTAATTTTTGAGATCTGAGAAGATGAAGAATTTCAGGAATTTATTTCCACATCAGTGGAAAAATATAGTCGCACAGGTATTTTGATTATTTGTTACTCGTAGAAGCTTCGATGAATGAAAACCCGGGAGGCCAGTATGGTGGGATACTGTCACCGTCAATGTGAGACCCAGCCCTGGCCGTACAAAAGTGCACCATTCTGGCCCAGGTTCCGTTCTAGCCTCCAATCCGTCTTGATTTCCTTTTGGTGGCTGCTCTCTACGTAGTTTCCACCACTTATCACTAATTCTGCTATTGCTCTGAGCCCAATCGAGTTTAAATCGATTTATCTGTGCTATGACCCTGAACCCAACTAGTCTGCAGAGATTAGCCGGAGCGCCGGCTAATCGAGGCCAGATGTGCCCGCGTGGCTCGGTGGTTGTGCCGAGTGCGGTTACTGCGGATCTGGAACCTTTCCATTTCCACTGCCGTTCTACGGGGGGATGTCTCTTGAAGCCTAGCACGCTCGCGTTACATCTTTATTAATGTGGGGGAAGTCTTTGGCCTCAAGGTAGTAAAGCAGAGACCTTCCGTGGTTATGCAGCTCACGGGCCGAGGCTAGAAGGCCTAGAACAAGCAGCACATAGCCCGAGAGGAGATGCAGATAAAGACGGCAGGGAGGGGGTCTCCTCCGACTGGTGGAAGGCTCCCGTGCGCTGGGACTTTCACCACACCGCAGCCTGTTTGCCCGGGTCACAGCTCCAACCTCAGGACCCCGAGAAGCGTAGCCAGGGGCTGAGTCTCCGTCAGCTGAGCAGTGCTTCCTGTAGCTTCGTCCCCTCCTGGCCAGACGGGAGGCCCCTCCACACAGGACAGTGCAGGTTTCGGATGAGACACGCCTGTCAGACAGCTCAGACGGGCTCTTTTCGTAAGGTCGCCATGCCCGGTCTAGACCACTCAGCCCTAGTGAAGAAGCTAAGAGGGAACCCCGTGCTGTCCGAGCCCGCCTTTATAAAATAAAGGATTAGGTGCGAATCGAGGGCAGAACACCCTTCCCCCATTCCTGCCAATAGAAGCAACTAGAATTCATATGTTTTCTGTGTGAAAAGCACAGGGGCCATGTTGCCGTTTCATATGATAAGAAGCTAAGTCAGGTCCTGTATCCACAGAAGGAGATAAAAAGTTTAGGGGTGGTCATTAAGTGTCTCATATCCTGGAGGCACCACCTGGGTGTTTCACGCACCTGGTCTGATTTAATTCCCACGACAAGCCCCGTGGGCCAGGGTCCTCCCTGTTTTACAGGTGAGGACTTGAGGCAGGAGAGCAACATGCTTAGAGTCACAGGTAGTAAGTCGTAAGCAGTCATATAAGCCTAGTTCTGTTTAATTCTAGAATTCATCCAAAGGGTTTTGAAAAGAAAATCAAACCCTCGATTTTTACATAAGATTTTTAAATGACTTGCATAAGAAAATAGTGCTATTTATCATTACTGTGCCATCAGAAACATGCCAACTAAGATGCAGTGATTAGGCTGCGGTGTCAGGGACACTCCCTTCTGTGTCCTGATTCCCAGCAGGAGGTCGCTCTGACCTGTGTGGCTGGGACAGCTTAGTCAGTTCTTAGTTTATTTTGGTTGGCAGCAGAGGGTGCTATGCACTTTCTAGATTTTCCTCACAGAAGTGCCCCCTTTCATCTCACACCTGCCTATTTATAGTCACCACCTACATTACCTGCACTGAAGTCAGGTTAATCTCTTGGCTCCAGTGAATTTCTGGCACTTGCTGAGCTTTAGATTCCTCTGAATTTGTATTAACGAGGCACTTTAAATCCTATTGAATTTACCCGCGAAGGGACAGAATTACAGTGCTCGGTGGTTTCTGTACAAAGCATTGTCCTCATAAGTCTGCTTTTCTCTGTTAGCAGCAGATATTACACTGGGAACATAAACAAGAAACGAAAGCGCTGTTTAGGGAACAGTCATCCAGATAAAGGAAGGAGGTCTTCAAGTTTCCAAGCTCCAGGCACTTATCCTACCTGGTTGGTTCCTTAAACCCTGACTTGAACATGTGGTGTTTCCTGAGTGGTCCTTTACAAGGCCTTTACCAAATGTGCCATCGAATAGTCATAAATTATGTCTTGAACAAATGTAGAGAAATCTGTGTGTGTGTGTATATGTGTGTGAAATAGTGGAAGTATTTTAAACACTGTTCCTGTGGAATAAGTGTTTGTATATTTATGGACACAGCAGTAGGGAGTTTGGTCAAAGAAAGATCCAAAAGCTTCTCAGAGACATAATGAAATGTGAGACTAGAACTCTGAAGGTCACTACATTAGTGTAGCAGCAAGTAACATAAGACCCACATTCAAAATGCTTAAACAATAGCAAGGTGTGTTATTTCAGGAAAGAGGAAGTTCAGTCCAAACGTGTGGTCAGTGCAAGGTTGGTCAGTCACCAAGAAACCACTTTCTTTTATTCTCTCAGCTCTGCTGTCCTCAGGGCTTCTGTCCTCAGGCTTGTCCCTCACGGTGACAATGTGGCTGCTACGGCACTTAGCGTTTCTGACTCACATCAAATCTAAAGGTCAGAAGAAAGATAGCCTCTTACTTGTGTTACCTTTTTACAAAGTAGAAATACTTGCCCATGAGCTCCCTTCTCCCCAGTTGACTCCCTTCTGCTCGCAGTGGCCTCTCAGAATGGTGTCACCCCTATTCCGAAGCCAGGCACTGGCCAGGGTGAATGGAGTTACCCTGGTGGGTGTAGAAACACCAAGACTTACCCAGGTGCGAGGGAGGGACCTAGTGTCTCTTCTGAAGCACAGTCTGATGAGTGAATAAAATTGGATTTTGTCAGCAGGAGTTCTGTTAGAAACGACCAAAGGGTAGGCGGTCAATATTGTCCCCTCTAAGATACCGGCACCCCGAGAGAATCAGACGGAGACTGTCCTCATATTTGCTCTCTGAGCCTCAGGAAAATGCCAGGCTTGAGCTCGCTTGGAGAGTTCCATTCATCCAAGTCCTGTCAGTCTGTAGGTGACTAAAGACAATACAACTATTCTGGTGTGGATCACAGCTGATCTAGTGATGTCCACTTTTTCAGTCACCGGAGGCATTTCTTTTACTTAATGTGTGTTTCCTTTGCTTTGGGGTGGGGGTGAGGGTGGGGTGCAAGGAGGACATGTGGGGAGTTGTTTGGGGGGTCGGAAGAGGGAGCAGAGGGTGTTGGAGGATCACGGTTTCTTCTGAATTAGGGTCTTAGGAATTGTCCAGCCCACTACTTATTGTTTTCATAAAATATGAGGCTGGAAAGGGTCGCTACCACCTCCCCATCGTTAAAAACATAGAACATTAAGGTTGTCACCACTAGACAACCTCAGTGGCACAGGCACCCTGGACAGTGGGCCCTTCTGCCGAGGGTAGCTTTGCACACGCAGTTTTCAACGCCTCCCTGCGTCTCGCTGCTGCGTTGGGGACCCCCAGTGTCCTGGTGCTGTGTATAAGAAGTAGATGGCGTCTGTACTCCCAGGTAACCCGGCTCCTGTCTGCCCCTCCTCAGAGACGTGCAGGTCAGCTCCTCCACCACCACCTCTTCCGGGAGCCCAGATCCTTCCTCCGGGGACCAGGCCGTCAGCGCGCTCCAGCAGCAGCTGCTACTCATGGTAGCGCGGAGAAGCCAGCAGGAGACCCCGCGGGTACGTCCCAGCATCGCTGGCTGTGGACGTCCCAGAGTCAGCCCCCTAAACCTGCTTCCAGGTTGGATCCTAGCAGCACTGGTCAGGTCTGACCCTGAGTGTGACGTCGCTGGGGTGCGGCTATGTCACCACATGGGAGTCTCCTGAACGGAGGTGAAAAGAAACCATGTAGATAGCAGGACCCTTCTGCAAATACTGACAGGCTTGCCACAGGCTTCCATGCTCTTCCAGATGCCTTAGAAGCTCATTTACATTGATCTGTCTGGTGGGTGCACAGATCCCACAGGAGCTCACTTGGTTAGGATGCTAACATTTCTTCCCCCCATGGTTTGGAAAATATCTGAATTTTTATTAACATATTATGGCCTTGTGCATTAAGCAATCAGATTCTTGAAGATAAATGTTTGACTTGAGAAAGTGAAAAAGACAAGCCATGAACTGGGGAAATAGCTATAATTCATATCATTAATAAGGGTTTTGATCATATATATACACACATATATGTATACACACACATGCATGCAGATGCACATATACACATCCATACATATGCACACATACACATCCATACATGTATACGCACTTACACACATAGAAACTGAAGACAAGCAAGGGGCCCGACAGAGAAAAGGGCAAATGATTTCATGAAGAAAAACTGAAAATGGACTAAGATGCTCAACTTGATTAATAGGGAAATGCAAATTAGAATAAAACAAACCATCCCTTTATACTTACCAAGTTAGCAAAGACGAAAATCCCGACACCGTCAGTGTTGGTGAGGCTCTGCAGCCACACAGCATTGACATGCTGTTGGTGGGAGTGTAAGCTGATAGAATCGCTTTAGAAAACTCATTTTTTAGAAGTGTTTTCTAGTAAATTGAACATTTCCATACCCAGTAATTCCACTTATGGCAAATGTGTACATTTCCTGGAAAAGTCAAACAATTTGTTTCCTAGTGAAGTTGAGCCCCTGGTGCAGCTGAACGTTTGCATTCTCAGAAATTCCACCCTTAGGGGTATGTTCTAAAGAAATTCTCGCACCTACGTACAAGGAGATGTGTCCAAGAATGTTCATAGTAGTGCAATAGCAAAAAAAAAAAGAAAAAGAAAAAAGAAAGGAAAAACCCTAAATATTTGACAGTAAAATGGGTATGTAAATAATGGCATGGCCACGTAATGGAATATTATACAGCTGTGAAAATGGCTGTTCCAGCTACAGAACAGCATGTACGAGTCTCAGGAGCAGAACGCAGAGTGGAGGCAAAAGGCAAGTTTTGAAAGGATACATGTGCTACGATTGCACATCTATGACGTTCAAGATCATAAGACTAAACAATACTGAAGTTTTGGACCAAAGTGTAGTGAAACAGAAGGTTGAGGACAGTGTGATCTCTGAAGGAGGAGGGGAGAGGTCGGGTTGAGGGGTGGCCCACAGGGGACTAACAGTGACGCTCTCTTCCTTCCCCTGGGTGATGGCCACCCAGGCAATCATCAAATTGTTGTTGTTCCACCTCACACACATTTCAAAGGTATGTATTTGCATCAACTCAGTATTTAATAGAACTTTCTTTTTAAAAACATGGTACCTAGTGTTGTTCAGCGGAGGGAACCCCTGAGTCCCCGGCTCTCAGATGAACACGGAGAGACCTGAGCCTGAAACGGGGGCTCGTTCAAGTGTGTCCCGTAGACACAGGTCAATATTAACTACATTAGCTTTAGTGAGGATAATCTTTAGCTTCCTGAGACATTTGGCAATACGAAACATTTAATTCCCCATCAATAATGAATAAATGAGTAACTATTAATTGATATCTAATTTCATGTGTAGTCTCTGGAAATTCCGTAAGAGGCTGTTTTAACTACTGCTGCAAATGCATCAGGCGTCAGAAGGGGGAAGGTTGATCCCCCCTCTTACGTTTCCCCTCCTCGCCGCCCTCCCTGTCCCTTCCCTCGCTGGCCCCCCGGCCTCACTGAGGTCCCCTCCGCTTTCCAGGCGTGGAGCCCAGCGCTCATGTAGGAATCGCAGGGCTGGGCCCTGGCCTGCTGCCCGTGGTTTTGAGTCTACGTGACCAATACGATGTCTATGGGATGTTCTCATACAGCATTAGGATGCTAGGGACCAAGCCCACCTGGTTCTTATTTTCCTGTCCCCAGCCTCGTGCCAGCCTCCTAAGTTGCTCACTAAGTGTCTGTTAGACAAATCAATTTTTCCCCCCAAAATTCAGTTCCTCTCCACTGGATTAGAGCCAATCACACATGAATTTGGGGTTAAAACATTTTAAACCTGGGCCTAAATTTCCCCACCTATTTCTGTTTTATTCGTTTAAATTTTTTTTCTATAAATAATTCAGTTTTTCTTACATCAGGCCTCACCAATGGCCTACATATTGGCAATAAAAATCTTTTCAATCTTAGTAAAATTTGAATGTTTATCTTAGCATTACATTAAATAGCATACCTTTCACAAATTAAGTCACTTAAGATCTTTTGTTGAATTCTGATCATTCCCAGGAATTCTTTCATGCCAGTGTCTTGGCCTTAATTAGCAGCAGTGTTGTGATACGGAGAGTAGCATAGTTTTATTGGTGCAATATAATGGAAGTGAAATGTGTTGGCGAGAAGGAGCCTCTCTTTTTTATCATTTCCCTTTTCTCAGAGCACCCATTTTTGTGAAGTATGTTGGTTTGCGTTTCAGAATTTGAGCATCTGCTCTTTGTACTGGTAAATTATGAGGTACATTTATGGAACAACATGTCAGTGTGAAACCCTCTCTCTTGCTTCTTTTGGGGTCTGACAGCATCTGAGTCAGGAGCTGGAGGACTCGTCCTGTTCTTCAGCACACGGGAAGTTTAACCGTGATCAGTTTTACAAGTTCATCATTTTCCCCGGCAAGTGGATCAAAGTCTGGTACGATCGCCTCACCTTGCTGGCGTTGCTCGATCGGTAAGGCGCTGAGCTCGCAGGTGTGTGAGCAGGGGCCTGACGGGGCGTAGCCGTGTGCTCGTGCCTGCTTGTCAAGGGGAGACAGCCACGGGCTAGGCCCTCGGGAACATTTTCAAATTGCACGCATTTGTGCTGCAAACCTAAGTCAGAGCAGTGAGATCCGGACAAGTGAGGAAATGGTAATTTAGCAGTGAAAGTGGGAAAAATGAGAATTAGGTGCATGGTTTAGATTTAAGGTCAGCTCTGGGGACAACACTGAGCCCTGGCCTGCTCCCACATGCAGCAGGACTGGGCGTGGGCGTGGGGAGAGGCAGGGAGAGGAAACGGAGTGACCTCCAGCTCTTCCCTCCGACGGCTCGATGCTGCTTCCCACCCCAGTCTGATCTACTCTACGTGGGATGAATGGGCATCTTTCCTTAAACCCTTTCACTCTTCCTGACCTCTTCCCACTGCTCCTCAGGGTCAGATGTTGTGGGTTGGAGGTGGGCTTACTGGGTGAGAAGGGTTGGAGGGAGGGTCAGGTTAAGAAAGCCATGATGGAGACAGGGCAGGGGACTTTCCATCTCGGTACCCCCACCTCAAGAGACAAAGGACAGGGCTGATCCTCCTGGCTGGCTGCTGCTTTGCAGATTCAGAGTGCTGTTGCTAAGGCTGCCATCAGCAAATGCTGAGTTTCACAGCGAGATGCCAGCCCTGGGGGCAGTGGAAGGCTGGCTGCCTGCAGGGCTGTAGTTGGTCCCCCAGTGACTACTTGTTATTGTAGTGTCTTAAATGGTGTGATCACATGCAAAAAACTACAGCCATGCAAAATTACAGCAGTAAATTTCAGGACCCACAAGTCAGGGAATGGAGTTATAATGGCTTTTCTAACAGCACTATGCTACCCAAGGGGCACACACTTAAGAAGAACGTTTCATACTTAACTAAAATAATCCAAGATAACACATTCTGTCAGATGAGGCGGTTTTTGAAATATTGGTGTTTTTTTTTAAAGGAATTATTGAAAGTTGGAGTAGCTGATGTTGATGGTGGGGGAAGTTGGTGTGTGTCAGGAGGGACTATCAGGGACCTTTTTTGCACTTTCTGTTCAATTTCACTGTGAATCTAAAAATGCTCTAAAAAAATAAAGTCTATTAATTTAATAAAATGTTCAGGAGTGCCTACATGCCAGGAATGAAGTAGCCGATTGTCCCTGTCTAAAAATGATCTTACTTAATGGGAGAGACCAATAGTACATGAGCAAAAATTGGTGAGGTAAGAAATGTGCTCAGAGTTCTTGTGAGTGACGCGTCCACGCTCCTGACCCGTGGTCCAGGTCACCCTCTCTTATTCCACTTCACCCCTCCCTCCCACAGCATCTGGCCCTCCAGCAGCCGTCTTCCATCTCTGGAAGCATAGTCCCAGCCTCTGGTCATCCCTCCTGTGCCCTCCGACTCCCTCAGATGTTCCCAAACCTCCTCCAGCACTGACCCATCCACTTTCGCCATCCAGCATCCCTGCCTGTCCCGTGATCTCCTGTCCTGCTGAGGCTCTGTGATCCAGCCCTCAGCCCCTTTGTACCCACCTCCTAAAATTCCCTTACTGGTCCCTCTGCACACCCACTGGCAGTACCCGCCTCTGGGTGAGCCTACCCCGTCCTCTACTGCTGATCGCCCCAGACGAAACCAGCCAGAAGGACTGTGGTGGGGACACATGCCTGTCAGACCCTCCGCACTGTGGGCTCTCGGGCTGGAGTTCCCAGGCTCCTGAAACTGGGCTCCAAGTCCTGGCTACGGTGACTCTTTACCTAAAGTCACCCCACTGCTGTGGATGGAGCAGTTAACTGCATCTTCCCAGTAAACCCACTTGGGAAGCCAAGGAGACCCAGTGGGATTATATTTCATTTGTTTCAGTAACAGGAATCTGGGGTTAGAATTTTGTTTGTGAAACACAGGATTAAGGCAAGAAAGGAACCTTACAATCTTGCCAGCGAGTGTAAAGCATGCTGAGATTACCGCTCTGCCCGCAGCCTCTTTAGGAGCAGGCAGGGTCCCCTGTTTGCAGACAGACACGCTCACCTTGCACCCCTTTCCCTTGTGTCTGTCTGTTGTGCAGAACCGAAGATGTCAAGGAAAACGTGCTGGCGGTGTCACTCATAGTCCTGGTGTCGCTGCTGGGCTTCCTGACGCTGAGCCGGGGCTTCTGCAGAGACCTGTGGGTGCTCCTCTTCTGCCTCGTCATGGCCAGCTGCCAGTACTCCCTGCTAAAGGCAAGGCCACGTCTCATTCTTACCGTCACTAGTGTGTCCTTGAAACCATGAGATGATGACACAGACACTTCTGATTTGTGTTCTAGAGCGTCCAGCCCGACCCCGCCTCGCCCATACACGTAAGTTTCCAAGAGGACAAGTAGCTGTCTCGTCTCCTTGTGTTGGAGACGGGAATGGGCCAGATCCACTCAGAAGGCAAAATATATGTCCGTATACCTATATATTGAGTATATAACTAGCAACATTAAATAGAAATATTAAATAGCATTAAATAGAAATATTAATGCATGGTGGGCTAGCTCAGGCTGGATCTGAGAGCAGGGCGTGGCCAGTAGTGGGGAATGTCCAGGGTGGGGGCCAAAGCGTGTGTGGAGGGTCTTTTCTGTCCCACCGGACGCGTGGCAGGAAGGCCGTGCGACCTGGTGGGCGGGGCTGCAGGCCCTGTACTCTCACCACCTACGTTTGTCTCCTGGGCCCTCCACTTGAATGCTGACCCTGAGCGAGATGTGGGCTCCCCACGCCTCAGTTTCCCAATGTGTAAATAAGGAAATGAAAAGGCCTATGGGGATTACCTAGTTCATGCAAAGTACTAGAAACAGCACGTGGCACGTAGAAGTTGTTCACTACCTGGCAGCTGTCATTACTGGTCATATCAGTTCCGAAAGCATGAGTCACCTTTTGAAATTCTCTTCCTGTTTCACATTTTCAAGTGCATCGTGACCTTTTGTCCGGCAGCTGGGATGCTGTGTAACTGAGGCTCTGGGCTCAGCAGCCCTGGCCGGTTGGTGCTCTGACAGCTTCGGTGAGTTCCACTGACCGCTGCTGGTGCTTCCCAGCGGGTGCTGTGGGACGGTCTGGCACCGCCCCGTCCCCACCAGGAACCCGGCCACATGCCTTTGCGCTGAGCACTGCCTGGTGGACTTCCCAGCTTCTTGAGAACCTTCCCATGGGCCCCCAAAACCCTCCCAATGAAAGAAAGCTTGATCTCCCTTCTATCGTGCTTTCTAAAATTTCATCTTCAGGATTTGGGGCTGCATTTAAATCTTCGATAGCTTGTGTTTAGTTCATAGTAATTAAGAGGAGCTTATAATTGGGTGATCACATGGCACACTTTGCTGTCTTATTAAATTCCTCTGTTCCCCGTAATTGGTTTACATATGATGCCGCTCCTTTTATCCCGGAGCCTGAGTGGCAGGATCGCAGGAGCAGCGTAATTAGGGTATTAGGACGTGTTGTTGTGATTACCGTCAGAATCTGGGTTAGGCGCTGCGTGGCTCTGCGAGGTTTTGCTCAAGCCCACCCTGGATGCCACACCACCGCTTTCCTAGTGATGGCACCTCAGTGTCGCTGTTTTCTTGGTGCCTTGGGGGAGGGGTGCCCCACGCTGAGAAACATGCATTTTCGGTGTGTTTTCAGGAGCGGTACAGAAAATGCTGGTGAGGGTGAGATCTGGGCAAGTGCGTCATAGTTACATGGTAGGAAGTGACCTCTTCCCCTGCCCCAGGGAGCCGTCACCAGCCTCTGACTGTGTTCATGGCAGTAATTAATTCACTTACACAGCGTCCAAGCAGGTTACTCCCTGGTTTGAGCTGGCGTTTCTCTACCAGCTCTGGAGAGGAAAGAGAGTGTGGTCGCTACACGGTATTTTTTCTTGAGATCGGATGGAGTCACGCAGGCATTGAGAAGGGTTTACCATCTCCAGCTTATAGATGAGACATCTCAGGAAGGAGACGGTCGGCAGAGAGATTCAGGTCCTCCCAAGCCCGCCACCCGCCCCAGCCTGGCTCAGCGCTCTTCAGGGCTGTCAGGTGAAACAAAGCGCTTTCAGATCAACGTTAATTTGTACACTTGGAGGAGGGGCTATTAATAAAGTCAGCCTATTCTTTCTCTTAGAGCAATCCACTGACTTTTCTTGTTTCCTTTCTGGAGCACAGAGGTGGCAAATGTTGAGCAAGTTGTTAAAACCAGAAGATAACCAAATAAAAATTTTAACACAGTGTATTTGTGATATAGATGTAGGATAATGACAGGCTAATGGATATGGTACAGTGGACTCTGAGCCTGAAAGAGATGCATCTGATCATAAAAATAAAACAGCTTTAGAGAGCTTAAAACACTGGGGGCTGAGTGGGTTCTGGGAGCAAGCTGAGGATCAGAGGGGGGTGTAGAGGATGGGCCCTGAGCCTGCTGCTTGGCTCACACAGGCTTATACGAAGGTTTACCCAACATAGCCACTAAAGGTAAGGCGGAAAGCAAAATGCGGGGGGATATCTGAGAGGCAGCCACACCCTGGGATCCCCTGCACAGAGATGGAGTGAGGGGCCATTCCCAGCCCCGCAGGGACTCAGGGCCCATGCCCTGGGGCAGCACCTGGGGATCTGCATTTAACACCCAGGCGAGGATGGTGGAGGCGTCTCGAAGCACTCCCGAGGAACTCAGGTGTCGGGATTTGAGTCAGCCTTGTACGAACTCCGGGATCTTGGGCAGGTTCCTTCTCCAAACCTCAGGCGTTCCATCTATAAAAGAGGAAATAATGAAACAGGACGTAAGGAGACTAAACCAGGTGTAGACAGTGACAACCACCTCGGTGGGACTTTGAGAGTGAATTGAACTTTGAGCACCACATGCCCAGCGCAGGCCGGGGACGTGCCAGGCCCCCCGGAACGTGTCTGCCACTTTCTCCCGCGCTTGGCACGTTTACCTCGTTTCCCTGCGCACAGTACAGTGAACTGTGGCTGCAATACGTTCGGCACCACCGCCGGTTACATACAGATCACTGGGGATGATTTTTGTAAATAAGCTTTTTATTTTAGAACAGTTTTAGATTCACAAGGTGATTAGGAAGACAGTGCAGAGAGGTCCCGTATACCCAGTGCCCTGTCCCCTAGCATTGGTGCATTATTGTTAACTGAAGTCCGTGTTTTACTCAGGTTTCCCTAGTTTCACCTACTGTTGTTCTGTTCCGGGACCCCCCAGGACACATTACCTTCACCTGTCGTGGCTTCTCAGGCTTGACTTGGCTGTGTGTTTCTCAGACTTTCCTCGTTTTTGATCTTGACAGTTTTGAAGAGCATTGGACAGAGATTCTGTAGACTATCCCTCAGTTGGGACTAACCTGATGTTTATGTCACGATCAGACTGGGGTTGTGGATTTGGGGGAGAAGACCACAGGGCAAAGAGCCCTTTGCATCACATCCTGTCAAGGGTGGGCACCTTCGACAGGACTTACCACTGTTGGATTGACCTTGGCCACCTGGATAAGGTCGTATTTATCAGAAAGATGGCTTTGAATGACATAAACTAATTTCTTAATCCTCAGTCCTTGGAATAAGGTGGTCAGCTTAGTTTTTAGTGGATCTTAAAAGCTAAGCAATACCTCTCTGTTTAGTTGTGTGTTCACTTGGCTCGGAAAAGCACTCTGTAAAGCATGAGCCATTCCAAATTGCCTTAAATTGTCATGTAGTACATTTCTGTCATTAAAAAGGGGACCACTCCCTGGGCGTCGCCCAGAGGAACACTCCGATGTCCATTTCGCTGCCCCTTGGTTGGACACCGGCACCTGCCCGTTTGTCAAGGTCCATGCACCTGAGAGTTAGGAAGTTGGACCTAAAATAAATCACTCTGTGGAATTAAATTATAAACCAAGCTTATAGAAACTCACTCGCCTGTGTCTTTTCAGTTTTTAGACTAGCTTGTCAATTTCCACCATCCTGGAAATTGGAAGTAGCATCTTACTAGTCTCCTGTTGCCAATCACTTGACGCTTTGGTTGCTGCTCATTGCCTGTGCTGCTTTCTCCAGTGTTCTGGGCTTTTCATTTACACCAAGTGTGAGTCGTAGGATAGTTGTTGGCTGGGGTTTACTGGGGTTCAGCTCAGTACCCCAGTTCCCTCCTTTTATGCCACACGCACGGGGAACCAAGTGTACAGTGGAAGTGTTCAGGGTGACTCTAAATAGACAGGTGAGCTCATCACCCGCCCTCCAGAAATGACATTCAGTAAACAGCCTCCACCACCACGAGAATCTTAGAAAACAGCAGACCCTTCCTACGGCGATGAGCGTTCGGTGGAAAGTAAATACAGTGCCACAGGGGCTGGGCAGAGCATAGGACCCTCCGGAATCCCTTTAGGAAAAGTCAACACCCCAAAGCTATTCCTAATGCTCCCCACACTCTGTATTTGCTTTGCTTGAGCAACACGCACACTGCGAGTTCAGAGAGTGGCGATGAGGAGTGGGACTCGGGGAAGTCGGGTGGAGCCCTGGGCCTGGGAAGATCTAGTTCCAAGGGCCGTCACCTCCTTAGTGGTGGCCGGGAGCCCGGGCCTAGTGGCCAGGCGGCCAGGCGGCCAGGCAGCCCGCGGCCAGGCCCATGTCCTTGTTTGGCTATACTGTTCTGTCTGTGGCCAGATTTCTTAATCCTCATGCCTCAGTTTACTCTTGACAAAATGAGAACTGTAGTATGCAGTTCTTAGAGCGTCCTGAGGACTAGGCGCGTGAACCATTTAAGGAAAGCAGAACACGGAGCGGCTGGATAAACGTGAGCTGTTTCACGTCCGCCGTCAAGCACGGCCCGACCTGCGAGCGCGGCTGGGTGGGAGCACGCACAGCCTCGGCGGCGTGAGGCAGCTCTTCCGGGCCTGTGGACGGGGGAAGCGGGGTGCCAGGCTGCAGGAGGCCTGAGGCTCGCTCGAGGCCGCCTGACCCCGGGTGGGGGCGCGTGGCCTGGCTGTGGACAGTCCCCACTTAGTCGCCTCCGAGGCCCAGTTGCCCTCCAGCCCCTGGGCCCTCTAGGATTCTCTGAGGCACCTTTGTCTCCTCATAATAAAAACCATTTTTTTAAAATTTCTTAACAAATTTGTAGCATTTGACCAGCCCACTCTCTTGAGAAGGGATCAGTGAGGAGGGCCAGCCCCTCAGCCTCGTCCCACCGCCCTCCGCAAGGGGTTCAGGGAGGTCTGATGGGCTCTCTCCCCTCACCCAGCCTGGGCCCCAAATTGTCGATGTGGGCGGGGCCGTGGAGGCCGAAAGCACATGCAGATCAGCCCTTGGGAAGTGGGCTCCAAGCCCCAGCCCCGCTGAAATCAGTCCTTCCCCCAGTGTATTTAAGGTTAAAAACAGATGGAACACAGTTGGATATGTTTTAAAAGATTGTGATCAGACTTCATTAGGAGGAGCGAGTGGAATTTTTCTATTGAAAGAAAATAATCCTGGGGGCTTTCGATGATGGATTCACCTGTGAAGGAGGAACTGGAGAGCAGGCAAATTTTATTAGTAGGTGCTCTCGGGAACCAAGGCGGATAAAGGTGACTTATATGCCACGTATTAGGGATACTCTTGGAATTGTTTGGGGACCCAAATGTGCACGGGAAGTGAGATGAGGCGTGAGTGTGGTGAGGGCTGGCCCCTTCCAAGGGAGCCTCAGGTTTTGTCTCATAAATTACAAATCCGGAGAAAGTGTTCCCACACCCAATAAATAGTGACTTGGCAGACCCAAGATGCTATCTCCAACTTGTTCAAGGCCAAAGACTTTCAGGTCCTACAAAGTCCGTTTTTAACCTTTCAGTAAAAGGTAGAATCAGGGCAAGAGGGAGGTAGCTGTTTAATTATATTTCCTAAAGGGTGTCAGTTCGGAGCAGTATCTCATACGCTGTGTGTTTGTATACTGAATAGCTCTCTGCACCAACCAATTTACTCTGCTGTTCACTTGATAAGAAATGCGCTAAGATTTAACTTGGGCTTTAGTTTCAATTTTTTATGCAGAGAAAGTATTCCCACACCCATTAATCTATGACCTACTTGGATTCAAAAGGAAATTTCATAAGAGCACAGATATTCCTTGAAGGCTGAGCCTGGACTCAGGGCCGAGCATCACCAGCCCCCATGGACAGCCCGTTCCTTCTTATTAACGATGGTCTCAGAACAGGCCTGTTTCTATTACAGGAGCAGCGGCGATGAAATTGCATTTCTAAATATAACACATTCAAGGCAGTGACTGAAAATTCACATATGAAGCCACATCACTGTAATCTCTACTTTTTTACCCTCAGAGTGGTTCGTGGATTGCAAAGGATTGTCTCCACCAACTCACTGGTTTTTGGGTGGTTTATTTTGAGCCTTATGAGTTGTGCGTTGATTTCTGAGATGTAAATTCTTCCTTGGCTTTTGCCCTGGAAAGTTGATGTTACATCTTTGTCTTAATTTTTCTGTCCTTCCAAGGAGGCGAATAAAAAACGTTTCTACTCATAACAATATCTTGAGGGCTAAGATGGGATGTGCTAAGTTGTCGGTCCGCCTCAGAGGGACGTATATAAACAGCAAGCGTTCGGTTCCACTGTGCTTCCCTCGGGCATCGTGTGTGGCCTCTGCAGGTGGGACCTGCTCCTGTGTTGTCTTGCTTTCAAAAACATAAGGAAACGGAAGCCCGCAGCTTACATTCTATTTCCTATCAATAGTGAAGCTCAATCTAAACCACACAGTGCAAATACTGGTTTAAATTAATTTTGTGTGTGAAAAACAGTCCAAATGGAAGTCTCGCTGTTGGGGAAGCGTTGGACTGGATCTGGGTTGTACCCAAAGGTGGTAATTAGCCCAGTTGGCGGGGCTCAGCAGCTGAGCATCGACCTAGGATCTGGGAGATCAGGGTTCGATTCCCGGTCAGGGCACATGCCCAGGTTGGGGGCTTGATCCCCAGAAGGGGTGTGCAGGAGGCAGCCGATCAAGGACTCTCTCATCATCGATGTTTCTCTTTCCCTCTCCCTTCCTCTCTCTGAAATCAATAAAGACATATTTAAAAAAAACCCAAACAGCTGGTAATTAAAATTTCAGGTGCATTTGTTGAGTCTGAGAGGCATAACATTCTTTTCTACATTCTTTTTTTTTTTTTAGTATATCTTTATTGATTTTAAAGAGAGGAAGGGAGAGGGAGAGAGAGAGAGAAAAACATTGATGATGAGAGTCATTGATCGGCTGCCTCCTGCACGCCCCCACTGGGGATCGAGCTTGCAACCCGGGCTGTGCCCTGACCGGGAATCGAACGCCCATCTCCTGGATCCTAGGTCGATGCTCAAGCGCTGAGCCACGCCTGGCCTGNTGCAACCCGGGCTGTGCCCTGACCGGGAATCGAACCCCCATCTCCTGGATCCTAGGTCGATGCTCAAGCGCTGAGCCACGCCTGGCCTGGCTCTTTTCTATATCCTTATTTGACAGAGTAACCATCATTTTTTCTTTCCCAGTGTTTTGTGTGTATGAGCCATGGGAGGGAAGGGGGGAGAGTGAGTTTATGGTGTAAATTTTCTTATATGGTATAAATTATCGACTGTGAGGATTCTGTCATAGAATCAAAATAAAAGTACCATTCAGAAATTGTGTTTGTTTTCTAGGGACACAACCAAATCATTACGTACAGCAGACCAGTCTATTTTTGTGTGCTGTGTGGCCTCATTTTACTTCTTGATGCCGGAGCCAAAGCCAGGCACCCCCCCACTTATGCTGTGTATGGCCTGAAGCTCTTCTCTCCGGGGTCGCTTCAGTCAGCTAGGGACCTCCTAATAGGTGAGTTCATTTGGGGCGTGTGGGCAAGAATGTAGAGGAGAGAGGGTCTGTCTTCACTTTGTGTCCTGAGTCCCTAACTGGAGACACTTCCCTGCTTGGGTATGGGATGAAGAGAGATGCGTTTCCCTCTTGGCTCGCCCACCTTCGGAAGACTGTCTGGCTGCCCAGAGCATCCAGTACAGGATCATTCCAAAGGGCTTTGACATCCATGACCAAGAAGTTACAGCGCCATAATATCTGGAGACTGGCCACTGTGGTGCCTGATGTGGGGTGTCAGTGGGGCTCCCTGGGGTGGGGGTGGTTTTGCCATCTGGGCAACAGCCAGAGTCGCATCCGCACAGCACAGACCCTCGGTTACACACAGGTGGACATGGTTCTCAGTCCAGGCAAAGTCCTGGACAGGCCGGTCATGCATCCTTTCACTGGTACACTTTACTGGCTGTAGGGTGTAGGCTACATTTGATATAAAAAGCTCCATTGACACCAGTGACCTGCACGTTGGACGGTTAGAGCCCTACTCGATCCAGGTGGCTGCTGTGTGAATTCCAGCCCTGCTGCTGTGTGACCTTGAGCAAAATTCAACTGCAGTGTGGAGACAAAAATAGTACCCACTTCAGAGGTTGTCGCCAGTTTTAAATGAGTTATTATATTTAGACACACAGAACAGTGCCTGGCACCGGGCATTAGCTCTTCTTGTCATTAGTATGGGAAGAGACCCTTCCAGTCGGCCTGGAGCTCTGAGAAGTCCAGTGATGACATCTGCAGATTTATGTGTGCTAACTTGGATCAAATTGACCAAATGAGCTGATAAAGGGCAGCTGCCAAAGAGTCCACCCCTAATTCATTGATCGCCAGCTGGAAATCTTGCTCAGAGGAGACTGAATTCAAGCTGTAGGTCCCATATCAGTCTTTCTCCAGCCCCCACGACAGCTCCCTGAATCTCTCCAGCGGGACCGGGAGGGCCCCGGATACGGCATAAGGTTTTGTTTTGTTAGTCATCATCCACGGATATTTTTTCCAGTTGTTTTTTTAGAGAGAGAGTGGAAGGGGGGGAGAGAAAGAGAGAGAGAAAAAGAGAGAAATACCCATGTGAGAGAGAGACATCGATCGGTTGCCTCCTGCATGCACCCCACCCAGAGCTGGGCATTAAACCTGCAGTCCAGGTACGTGCCCTTGACTGGGAATCAAACCCGAGACCCTTCGGTAAGTGGGCCAGCGCTCACCACTGAGCCACGCCGGCCAGGGCTAAAGCGTGTTTTCTTTGAGCTCCTTATAGGTGGAAGCTGTAGTAGACATCCCACCCTCTGACTCTCCTTCCCAGCTCCCCATTCCTGCTGTACTGGTGGCAAATTATTCACTCCCCTTCCACCCTCCCCAGCAAGCCCACCTTTGTCGGCATCCTCACACCTCGCTTCCTAGTACATCACGTGAGGAGCAGAGCGGCTTCTTAGTACCCAAGGGGTAGGCACCAGGTTTCGGAGGACCTCTGAGCTCAAGTAGGAAACAGAACCGTGTTGGAGAGATGCAAGAACCGACTCCAGGATTAGACCCCCAGGCAGCAGCGCCCTCTTGCTCAAGAGTATTTGCTTCTACCCTGCCTAGTGCTTTCACTTTACTTTTTATATTGCTTGAAGCTCCATTGGTTGGAACAAACAGACACAACACACACACACAACAAGAAAGACTTTCAGTCTGTTTTACCTTCTCATAAATTAGCTCACCCATCTTGCTGCTGATCTCAGCTGCAGTGAAGGGTCAGAGTTGGAGCAGACAGAGCTGCAGGTCACGATCCTGCACACTTTGGAGCCCCACCCTTTCCTGCCTGTTGGCCATCTTTCCATGACCCTGGCCGCCCCTGGTGTCGCTCAGCACCGTCAACCTGTCCGAGGGGCAGAAGGGGGCGAGGAACCCCCGGGGTCTGCTGAGAGCAAGCAGGGCAGGAGGTGGAGAGCCATGTGGGGACTGGACCGATGGGAAGGATGGAGAAGCTCTTGTCACAGGCTACATGAGGGGAGGACCATCGCAAAAGCAAAGAGAACAGCAGATCCTAGAACAGCAGAAAAAGACAGAAGGCGAGGGAGAGCAAGCAAGGAACCCGGGGTAGAAATTGGCACCAAAAGAAAGACAGGTGGGAACTAGGGACCTCTACCGGCTGGCGGTGAGCTAAGGAAACAGAAACCCCATGGGAAATACTCTTCCCTGGTCTTTTTCTTTTATGGTTCCTCGTATCTATTTAGAACCACTCTGTGCCCTCCTCTGTCTTTATAAGGAAAACGTCTCTGTTTTTACTTCCAGGAGGGAGGTGAAGGCCTTCGCAGTCGGCACTCATTTCCTGTGCTCAGTCAGACACCTGTGACCTCTGGGCTGACATCTGATTGCTTTCCATTTGGGTGACTTCGGCAAAAGCCTGGAGTGGGACTGGCTTTGTAATTATCCTCTGGATGGGAAAGCCAAGAGGTCTTCTTAGTATCATATTTCAAAAGGAGGTGGCCAAGCTAGTGCACCCTGAGGCCACAGGGGCTGCCCAGAGGCTGGAGACAGGACAAAGGAATGGGGGTCCACCCAAGAGAAGAAATGCTTGGGCGCCAGAGATCCACCGGCAGGCGGCTTTGGGTCATTAAAAGCTGCCAGGTGGAAGGCCCAGGGGCTTTGTTCTGTGCTATTGTCACCGCAATAACTAGTCCCAGCAATTGTGGGTGGACTATAGCTCACTTCGAGAGAGACCCTGAGATGGTTTGGGTTAGGGTTGTCCAGCGGTAGCCTGGGTTGTCCAGAGAGGCAAAGGCTTCCCTGATGTGGAAAGAGGTCAGGCAAGATGGGAGCCATCAGCTGTGAAGCGGTTTGTGCACTGGATGGATGGGTTCTTTATCCAGTGGCCGTGGTGATCCTTTACAGATCTGCGAGTTTTACGCTTTATTTTAGTCCTTGGGACCACCACGCCCTACCGACAATAATGCAGCCGCAGTCATGCAATCCTTGGGGAGGAGTGGAGGTTTTGCACAGGTCCTGGGATGGGTACTCTCCTCGCACACTGAGCCCTCACATTTCTGTGTTTTGTATAGACATTTTCTGGGCTCAGTGGTTGAAGGACACTTAGTTCACACGCAAACGTGGCACGTTGGAGACACGCGGTGTCAGCATTCGCATCACAGGTCTGGGTTGTGTTTCCATGTTATTTAATCCTATATGTTTCCTCCCAAAGCTGCAAGTTTAGTAACGAATATTATTTTCACATTCAGCAAAAGAAATAAGCAAGTTAGTGTTTTTATTAGACGTTTTCGAGAAAGACACGGAAGCGTGCCAGAAGCTGCTGCATTCACGGGAATTAGTAGGAAAAATGGGACACAGGGAGGAACGTGAGGGACCATTTCAGACCCTCTCAGCCGCCTGCTAAGAAAGAAGGTCTTTGTTCACAGGGAAAATTGCCAACAACCACAAGGCCTTTTTTTTTTTACCTTTGGAAGAAGGGGCAAAATAATTTCAGCAACTTCAAGTGCAATTTTTTCAGTCCCGTGAAGGCCACTTTTGGCTGCTCTTTCATCAGGGGAACTGCAGCCTGACAGGTGACCCCAGGGCTCCCCCTTCCTCTCATCCCACCTCCCCGGTTTTGTGTTCACAGCCCAGGATTCCTTCCTCCGCCGCCCTGGAGCTCTGGGCCCTGGGCGCCCTGCAGAGGGCTCTTCTTTCCCTGTGGTCTCAGTAGGTGCCCCTTCTGCACCATGAGGAGTTTGCATTCCTGGTTTTTCAGCAGTAACTGAAACGCCCCCCCCTCTGCTGTTGACTGTGGTTGATGTATAGTGTTAGGACATAGTTCCAATGTGTCAGCTTATTGGGTTTCAATTCAAATTTCCTTAGTTTTATTAAGGATTACCGGTATCAAACTTCGTTGACATTCTACCCAACAAACTGAGACAGCAAGGAAGACAGCTGTATTTCAGCATTACTAATGTGCGTTCCTGTGATTCTGTGAGGCCCAACATAAACAGAATTAAGAAAGCGAGTGATACAGAAGTCGCTATAAAATACAGCTCCACTCCTTTTTATTTCCTTGAACAAATCTCTGTGAAACTTTGAACTATAGCCCGTGGATGTTCTGTCCAATTGCATTGGTACTGGTTGGGGAAGCGCCACCTTCCTTTCCCAGGTGACTGGTTCCCCTGAGAACAGGCCCCTCAGTGCCGCACCGACAGTGTGTGGAGTTTCTCAGTCACTGGTCTCCCTGGCTCCCCTGTGGGGCCTGGAGTCCAGGCTGAACTCGCAGCGACTCAAGTGCTCGAGGGGACAGACGCACAAGGCGAGGAGCCGGCTGGGCTTCGATTGTTGCACCCCCTCCCAGGCAGGAAGAGATCCCCTAACTGCCATCCTCGGGTTCTGATGTCGCTGTTTGCCCAGTTCGCTTCCTCCCACCCTCGTCAGCCTCAAGTCCACGTCCGCTCTTGCGAACTGAAGACCAGTCACTCTCTGAGCATCCGGAGGTCTCTGCTCGGTCCCAGCACCTCTGTGTTCTTGGGCCGCTGCCTCAGGAGCAGCTCCGTCACTTCCACAGGCACATATACATCAGCCTCTAGACTGGCCCCCGTTTCCTGGGAGGGGCGGGGGGGACCGCAGCAGAGCCCGGCACAGCTCCGTCCCACTCACTGTCTCTTCTGTCTGTTCCCTTCCAGTATTTCTGTATTGCTTCCCTGCAATTTCCCTCCTTGGGCTCTTTCCGCAGATCAACACTTTCTGCATCTATCTCCTGGAACAGATCGACATGCTGTTTTTCGGAGGTTCTGGTAAGTCGTGCACTCTCCTCTTCCTGTGCGGGAGTCTAGAGTTAGATACGGGCACAGTAGCCTCGGGCTGGAATGAGAGCCTGGACACCTAGTTTTTCTTTGTCCTGAGGCTTAAACTGCTCCATGTTGGCTCTGTCAGGGGGATGAGGGACCCATCGGGACTCATTTAGCCAAATTGAAAGGGGCCCACCTTGCTTGGTAAAGACAAGCAAAGGAATGGAAGAGTAGTTTCTCCGAGTTGTGGAAAAGGTTTGGGGCCCTTCTGGCCATTCTTTGGAAAAACCATGTGCCAGAAAGTGTGTTAAAGAGTGTGAGTGGATTAAGTGTGCGTTTGACCATGTCTGGGAGTGTACGTGAACGTGGGCGTGTGAATGTGACATTGTGTGTGTGTTCTGTGTGCACCTGTGCAGACAGGTGGCCTGTGCCCCTACAGCTTCACTGGGACTCGGCCTGGCGGTTGAAATTCAGGCCCCAGGGGCTGACAGCGCACCTGAGGCTTACATGGAGGCTTCACAGATCACTCACCTTTAACACCGACTCTCCTCTAAGTGGAAGGGAAGACGCTGACCTCATAGGGCTGCTGTGAGGAAGAAGTGAAATCATGTTCATAAAGCACTGGAGCATCGTGGGTGATCAGTTACATTACCGCCTGTCACACGCATGCACATGCATGCACACACGCGCACACACACGTGCACACACATGCACACGCACACACACACCTCCACAGGGACACGCTCGTTCTGTCTCTGTCGCGGTTGCTCTCTCCCTCTCCCTCCTCTCTCCTTGCCTGTCTGTCTCTCTCTCCCTCCCCATCTGCGTCTGTCTCTGTCTCTCCCTTTCTTCTGTCGAGTCCCTACCCAGGACCTTCATCTTGACCAGNTCATGCACAGGCACACATGCACATGCACACACACACCTCCACAGGGACACGCTCGTTCTGTCTCTGTCGCGGTTGCTCTCTCCCTCTCCCTCCTCTCTCCTTGCCTGTCTGTCTCTCTCTCCCTCCCCATCTGCGTCTGTCTCTGTCTCTCCCTTTCTTCTGTCGAGTCCCTACCCNACCTGTCTGTCTCTCTCTCTCCCTCTCCATCTGCGTCTGTCTCTGTCTCTCCCTTTCTTCTGTCGAGTCCCTACCCAGGACCTTCATCTTGACCAGGCGGCTTTCAGCTGTGAGCAGGAGGTCCCCCTGCCTCCACGCCGGCACGTCCCCCAGCCTCCTTTCTCACTGCTTCCCTCCTGAGTTCTGAGCCTGATGGCCGGTCTCTTTCGTAGACGGATGGTGGCCAGTGCTCGTTGACTGGCCCCCTGATGGCCGGTCTCTCGTACACGGATGGTGGCCAGTGCTCGTTGACTGGCCCCCTGGACGCATCCTTTGCCCGTCAGCAGGCGTTTCGTGGTTGAACGCTGCAGCCTTCTCTCACGCTTGCAGCGTTTACTGGTTGTGGGGGCTGCCAGTCCAGGAAGGCACTGTCGCTGTTTGTGTTTCAGCCGTTTCTGGGATGACATCGGCCGTTTGCAGCGTGGCCCGGAGTGCCACCACCGCCGCTGTGCTCCACGCACTCTGCTTCAGCGCCGTGAAGGTAGGTGAGAGGACAGGCCCTCGCCTTTCTCCTCGCTCCCATTACGTTGACTGACAGTCCCGGGAAACGTGTTTTCTCCAGGTGTAAGGGAGATGGAGCCTGAGCACGTCGGGTAGCACCCGGCGGGGAGGCCTCAGTGGTGTTAGAAGAGGCATTCAGATGCCTGATCTGCCCGGCACAAAGCCCACCTGCCCTGGCCGCCCCCTGCTGGCGTCTGTCTGGCACAGTCCACTGATGACACTGGGAGGGCTTCTGCTACACATGGTGGTCAGTGGGACCTTGGCTTTACCGTCACCTCCTTCCGATCTACCGCTCAGAGGACAGGAAGGGGACAGAGGAGCATAAGGCTGTGTGGACAGGCAGAGACCCGGAGGCTGTGAGGGCAGTGGAACCTGAGCGCCTAGCAGACAGATGGGCTGTGGGCTGAAGCCCTGCCGTCCGCAAGGGAAGGCTCGACGACACGAAACAGGATAGGCATCGACTGCAGGGAAGCAAAAAGCACATCAGCAGGGAATATAACTCACTCGTCTGCCTGGCTCCTCTGTCAGTCGTGTTCGGTATTCGTAACACCTGAATTCTAGTTCCCTCGAAAATGGGCGAAGAGGGGAGGCGAAGTGTGTGTGTGTTGGGAGGTCATAGTCCTGTCTTTCATATTAGAAAGTAAGCAAATAATATCTGAAATAGAAAAAAATAAAGAAATAAAACNTAGAAAGTAAGCAAATAATATCTGAAATTGAAAAAAATAAAGAAATAAAACGTATGTTATTGAAAATCTGGAGGTAACAGCAAGGAAGAGCTGCTGAAAGGCACTGCCGCCAGGGGGCAGGTGTGGGGCAGGGGTGTGTGGCAGAGGGCCCTGCTGTTCCTTGGGGGGGCAGGTGCGGGCAGAGGGCCCTGCTGTTCCTTGGGGGGCAGGTGCGGGCAGAGGGCCCTGCTGTTTGCTGCCAGGCTGTTGCTGGAGTGAGTGCCACACAATCAGAAAACAGCAGCACACATGATGTCGTCGGGGTATCTGTGATCTGTAAAAAAATCAGTTAATTAGTATTATACAGATTTCTTGACTCTGTGGACACACGCATTTAATGTTTTAAACCACAGATACTTCTTGGATAAAATAAAAACTAAATGCAAAAGAGTAACTAAAAGTAATATATGTTCCAAAGGGTTTTAAATATATATCATATGACATTTCTTAACTAAGTTTTAAAAAATATTAACTTAAAATCTTATTAAACTCGTCAGCACCAGTGAAAAAGCATAATAGTCTGTCCCTCTTCGTGAAATAGAAGGAATTCAGCATTATCATCGCCCAGTGGTTGAGTGACCTGTGGCTGTGGATGGCAGAATCCCCTCCCTCTCTCCTCCACCCCTTCCGGAGAGGTCTTTTCTTTCAGGTCAGAGAAAAGCAGCAGAGAAGGAAGCCTCCTTTCCTGAGGCACGAGGGTGACTTGTGTGCTGTGGTCGCTCAGTTTGTTGCCACATTTATACCGTCGAGTAGAACAATTTCATGATTAGAAGTTGTATCTGGTGTTCTTTCTTTCGAACCACAGGAGCCCAGGTGGTTCATCCAGGAAAGGTACTTGGACAGGTATTTTCTGAGTTCTTGCCCTTCTGAGGTCCTCTTTCCATTTGCAGCCTTTTGGTCAAGTGCTGCCTGTAGAATGTGGGGGTCGCGCGCTTTTTACTTGCAGGGCGTTTCCTATATCGCCCTGTTGTGTTCCAGTGTTTGCTTGTTTGTTTATACATTTATTTTTCATTCATTTTTTTAAAAGTCTGGTTTATTGACCAGGCTTTAGTTTGTATACATTTTGGGATGTAGAGTTTGGCTGAGTTTTGATAAGTGTGTGTACTTGTGCAATCAACGCCACCGTCAAGTTACAGAACATTTCCTCCAACTCAGAGGTCCCCGTGTCCCTGTGTGGTGAGGTCTTCACCTGCCCCAGCCTCTGGTCACCACTGACCTGATTTGTATGCTTATTGCTTCTGAAAAATCAATTTTATACCATAACATTCACAGTTGAATACACACTTGGATGAGCTCTGATGGGTGTACATGGTCAGATAAGCACCATTGCGGTCATGATGGAGAACAGTCTGCCACCCCAAATTTCTCTTCATGCTTCTGTTCCGTCAGTTCTCTACCCACGCCCAGGTTCCCGCAGCCACCGATCTGCTCTCTATCATCAGTCAAGCACGTGGGGGAGGTGGTAAGAAAATTAACCTACAAAAATGAGACAGAAGGTTGGCTATCTGTGCAGGATCCATCAAATTATGGACACTGTTGAATGCAAGGCCAAAAAAATATGGTTTTGATACAGTGGGCATGTTTCCATGACAGAAACTTAGAGGAAAGGAAGTGACCAGCTCTAGGGTGTTGAGCGTCGTGGACAAGCTTAGAGCCCCAGTGATGGAAACAAAGACACTGAAAAGTCTCACCAACTGACTTCCCGAGTCCCTCACGAGTGATCAGACCAGAACCCACTTTCTGACTTTCGGCCGTGTTCTCTGAGCTGTCTCTCTGCGAAGTCCCATCTGCTTACTCAGCCCTTGACTTGTGTGGACCTTTGTCTCATGTCTCCTGCTTCTCAGCAGACAAGACGCATTTGATAGTGAAGGATAGTTCATGTATAATAGAGTCATGGCTGAACCTGTGGAAGACAGAATATTCTCCCATTCTCAGGAGTCTCTCCTTTCATGGGACTTCTTAGGCTAATTTCCACAGGAGAGTTATAGGCTCTGAAAAGCCTGACACGTGCCGAGGGCTCATTATTGCCAGTTCAAATATTATCAAAACTAATGTACACTCCTGGGATTGTTAAATGACTTTTTCTTACAAAATCCTTAGGGGGGTTTTGGGAACCCTTGAGGAATCTGGTCTTTAATAAGGCAGAGTGTTTGGGTTCTTACCTAGTAGGGGGACAGGTGCTTTTCATTTCCTCACCTCCCTGAGTCTGACTCCCTGCTCAGATCAGACGATGCTAATGGATGATCGCTTTCCCCCCAACCGAGGTCAGCAGGGCCTCTGATGCCCAGACAGTACGACAGGCAGCCCCAACCAACTGATCGGAGCTGGGCCAAGAGATAAGGTCAGTTTTTCACCCTAGGTTGAGCCTAGTTTATTTGATTTCCGTCTGTCTGTGGCGTTCCCTAGGTGTAAGGGACTGTTGGGTCAGAGTAAGTGGATTCCACGTTGAGAGCACAGTGCCAGCTGTGATGGGAATGGACCCTCGGAGGCTCGGGGTTTACTTAAGGGTTGAAACACGCTTTTTACCAGGTGGGGCTGGGGTACTTGGGAAGGTTTACTGCATCCCGGGAGGTACCGACTTCCCTTGCTGAGCGAGAAATAATATGGCTTGTTGTTACAGATTCTTAATGTTCTGCCTGTATTTTGAAACATCTTTTGGTAAAAATGGAGCCATTTGCATTTCTCCCTCCTCACTCATAAGTTCAGAGGTTCCTAATGGTCTCAGATGGACCCTCCGCTCTCAGAGCTGCACCTGTTTAGTGCTGTGAATTGAATGAATGAGGTGAGCACATTCGCAGGGGAGTCCTTAGGAAAAAAGGAAAGCTCACGTCTTCAACCCGACACACTTACCCGGAGCTGCGGTTCTGCCTCCTGTTTAACGATGTCTTTGTTTATGCCTTTTATGCTTAGTCTCTGCCTTGGTGGAATTGGCTTTTCCTTTCATCTCTGCGCTGTGATGGATTGATGGGCCCCTGTGATTTCAGCGAGTCAGCTGCCTTGCCGGAGATGCAGTTCTCTCTATGAGCCTGATGTCTATGTATGTCCTTTATTTTTATTACTCTCACTTGACAGAGACAGATTGAAGGGCTGGGAGTTAGTTTTGCTCTCTGGAATATTAATTAGGGGAAAACCTGATTCGTCTTCTAATTCCATATTCTCTTTGACTCATCCAAGACAGTAGCGAGTGGCATCCAAATGGACCCCCTTGTTGACTTAAATATTTGACAGTGATGTAAAGGAACAACCGGAATATTTGCTCCCCGGAGAAATGTCTCAGGAGTTAATTAGCTGCGTTTTCTATATGTCCGTGGTTCCTAGTTCTTATCATCCCTTACAAAGAGATTCTGTCTTACTGATGGCAGGGGGATACAGAGGTTAAAGCACATTATTATAATTTAGTGTTTCCCAAGCTTCATTAACAACTGCTTGTGGGAGAGCTTCCCCCATGTTCTTCTAGGTCCTGCAGGATGGCATTTCCCCTGCATTCAGGATTTAAAATCTAATTGCAGATATAAAACAAACTCATTGCTCTAGGATAGTTTTAGCACTGACATGAACCTGAGGTGTCCAACCCTTCATTTTATTTTTGAAAGTGAGGAAATGGGGTCCAGAGAGATTAAGTGGCTCACTCAGCACCACACAGCACAGATCCCAGATCTTGCGTCGTCTCAGTCTTCGTCCTGTGCCGTCCTCCTTCAGACTCTTGAAGTGTAAATGTGTTTTCTAACTGTAAGAACAATCCACAGGCATAGAAGATGCCTCCCAGATCTATGCCCTTTAAATTTAAAGTAATTTCCCAAGTGTTTTCTCACTTGCCCTTTATTACAGCTCTGTGTTTCATATAGAAGATAATAGCATTTCTGCATTCCAGAGGCGAATGGCAAGCAGGGAGGCATACGTTACTTGCCTAAGGGCACATGGCTAAAACACATTGTTTTTTCTATTGTGAAATGGATTAGTAATACCTAATGTTGTCAGAATAAGTAAAATTATATTGATAATGTACATACAGTGTCTAGCTCAAGGGTCTAGCTTAAATGGTGTGGTGGGCAGAATTCTAAAGTCACTCCAAGACTCTAGCCCCCTGGTGTGCCCATCCTCTAATTTCTGCCCCTTAAGTGTGGGCAGGACCTGTGAGTATGATGGAATGCCAGTCCTGTGATTAGGTTCCATTGTCTGGCAAAGATGAAGGGATTCTGCTGATGTAATTAAGGTCCCTAATCAGTTGACTCAGTTCATCAGAAGGGGTGGGATC